CATAAGACGCACTGACATTTTCCCCCCTTTTTTTGGGGGGAAAAAAGTGCGTCTTATGGTGCGAAAAATACGGTAAATAAAAGTATAAACGAACCACATAGGTTGTAACTCTGTTTCAAATTTTTATTGCCAATGTCCCCCATAAAATAACATATAAATAACACATAAAACAAAAAAAATGTGCATCAATTAAATCCAAGCAACAATCATCACATAGGTTGTAACGCTATCATCTCACCACGCTTCTGCCATTTTCAAAATCCTGCTTCACATGGGTGATGCCTTACACCTGCTACTAGGGTACAAATTTGAGCTTAGTCAGCTTGGGGTATGTGGGATTGTGCCAGAGAGTATCAAAGCAGGTTTATCCTGTAACCCCCTGAAATTGTTTAGTTTTGTGCCATATCCTTCGGATAAAGTTGATGCGTTAATGAAACGAAGAGCAGAAGCTAAGGTAGTGTCATGGTGGAACCAAGCATTACCAGCAGAGGGGTTCTTACCGCTTACCATATGTTGTAGACAGTTTAACTACAATTGGGAAAAGAAGGAACGTTCTGCATCCAGGGTCGACTTTCTGCAGATAAACATGCAGTACGTTTAGCAGCAGAAAATGGCACACTTGCCCTTTTCTTACTGAAATGTTGGTATTCCTTCTCATGTTGGTTCTCATACATCCTCATTTTGGTATTTATTCTTTGACAGCTTACTAACTACCGTTAGACCACATCAGCAAAGGTGGATACTGACATTCGGATTTCTTTATATATCAGGACAAAATATACCCTAGTTTAATGCTGGTATATTAGAGGATGCACCCTAATGTTTCATTTGCCTCTCTGACAATTTACCCTCTTTGAAACTCCGTAAACTCTAAGGCTGCATTCACCCTTGAGCGTTTTGTAGCTTGACGCTCGAAGCTCCAAAAAAAGCTCAAACTTAAAAAAAAAAATCAGTTCTGTATGGTGGCTGTTTGCACAATCAGGTGTGAACAGGCTCCATAAAGAACAATTGAATTTTTAAGTTTGAGCTTTTTTTGTTTCCAGCTTCAAGCTACAAGTGTGAATCCAGCCTAACATGACTCCATATTACTAGCAGCGCACGCAGTGAAGGACGAAAGTGAGGCTTTCCACCTGTTAGCTAGGTGTCTCATCACACAGCGAAAGCAAAAGAATGTTACATCACTTCAGCTTTCAACAGGAAACATGTTGCCCTTTCACAACTGCAAATGATGTATTTCTATTTTTTGTCCAACCCCTATATGTAAAAGTTTTACATAGTCTTTGCGCTTCAGGACCCAGAACAGGGCTTGCCAATATTCTGAGAAAACAAGAAGTTTGTTTTTTCCCTATCAGCCACAAACCCTGAGTGCAGATTTACACATATACTTTCTGGATTTCAGAGTCTGGTTTCAATGCTTATTGTAATCTGCAGTCCAACAGTTCAGGGCCAGTTCAGGACCGGTTTTTGTGACATGGCTTGTTCAGGGCTGGTTTGGATGCAGTTTTGCAAGGCTTTTTTTAGTTTTGCTGAGGTGGAGAGGAGGTGGGGGGTTGGGGATGAAAATTATGCTGAAATCCTTTTCATAACTGATGACGTGTTATTCAGAAGTGGTTCCCATAGAAGTCAATAGCCTGTAATCTGTACCTGAACCGGACCGCACTGCTCAGAAATCGGACATGACTCTTTTTCAATCCACACTGCCAGTGCACTGGACATACACTATATTGCAAAAAATATTGGGATGTCTTCCTTTACACACACATAGACTTTAATGGCATCTCAGTCTTAGTCCGTAGGATTCAATATTGAGTTGCCCACCTTTTTGTAGCTATACCAACTTCAACTCTTCTCGTAAGGCTGTCCACAAGGTTTAGGAGTGTGTCTATGGGAATGTTTTAACCATTCTTCCTGAAGCGCATTTCTGAGGTCAGGCTCTGATGTCGGACAAGAAGGCCTGGCTCACAGTCTCCAAAGGTGTTCTCTCGGGTTGAGGTTAGGACTCTGTGTAGGCTAGTCAGGTTCCTCCACCCCTGTCATCCATGCCTCTTTATGAACCTTGCTTAGTGCACTGGTGTGCAGTCATATTGGACAGGAAGGGGCCATCTCCAGACTGTTGCCACAAAGTTAAAAGCATGAAATTGTCCAAAATGTCTTCGTATGCTGACGCCTTAAGAATTCCCTTCACTGGAACTAAGGAGCCAAGCCCAACTCATGAAAAACAACCCCATACCATAATCCCACCTCCACCAAACATTACACTTGGCACAATGCAGTCAGGCAAATACCGTTCTCCTGACAACCACCAAACCCAGACACGTCCATCAGATCGCCAGACAGAGAAGCGTGATTGGTCACTCCAGAGAACATGTCCCCACTGCTCTAGAGTCCAGTGGTGGCGTGCTTTACACCACTGCATCCAATGCTTTTCATTGCACTTGGTCATATAAGGCTTGGATGCAGCTGCTCGGCCATGGAAACCCATTCCATGAAGCTCTACACACTGTTGTTGTGCTAAACTGAAGGCCATACAAAGTTTGGAGATCTTTTAGCTATTGACTCTGTAGGCAGTTGGCGACTTCGCTGCACTGTGCACTTCAGCATACGCTGACCCCCGCTCTGTCATTTTACATGGCCTACCACTTCATGGCTGAGTTGCTGTTGTTCCCAGTTGCTTCCACTTTGTTATAATACCACTAACAGTTGACCGTGGAATATTTAGTAGCAAGGAAATTTCACAAATGGACTTTTTGCACAGGTGGCAACCTATCAGGGTACCAAGCTTGAATTCACTGAGCTCCTGAGAGCGACCCATTCTTTCACAAATGTTTGTAGAAGCAGTCTGCATGCCTAGGTGATTGATTTTATACACCTGTGGCCATGGAGGTGATTGGAACACCTGAATTCTCCGATTTAGAGGGAGGGAAGGGGCAAAATCCTCTCTTGTAGTAAAAGAGGTATAGACTCCAGAGAGAGAGAGATATATAATTTTTAAACAGGGGTAACAATCTTTACCAAGTAATTACAGACCTGTTAGTTTAAGTTCTATAGTTGGGAAGATGCTGGAGAGTTTAATAAAATACCACATAGATGAGTTCTTGCTGGAAAAAAAAAAATATTTTAAGCAACCGACAGCATGGATTCATGAAAGACAGAAGTTATCAAATAAATCAGATTTTTTTTTATGAGGAGGTGAGCAAAACCTTGGACAGAGGGGGTGGCGGTGGACGTGGTATACTTGGATTTTGCAAAAGCGTTTGACACAGTTCCCCACACACAGCTAATGTGTAAGGTAAAGTCTACAGGCTTGGAATAATCCGTATGTAAATGGTTAGAAAACTGGCTGAAAGATTGTATTCCGAGAATAGGGGTTTATGATTCCCACTCTGAATCATCTAGGGTTGTTAGTGGTGTACCCCAAGGTTCAGTGTTGGGACCCTTACTTTTTAATATATTTAAAAACGATATAGGGTCTGGGATTAAAAGTACCATTTCAGTCTTTGCAGATGACACCAAGCTGTGCAGTGGAATAACGTCCTTACAGGATGTGTCCCAATTTACAAGCCGACCTCAATACACTGTTTACTTGGGCAACTATGTGGCAAATGAGGTTTAATGTTGATAAATGTAAGGTTATGCACTTGGAATCTAAGAATATGCATGCATCATACACACTAGGGGGGGGGGGGTTTCTAAAGTGAGCAAAATCCTCTCTTGTATTAAAAGAGGTATAGACTCCAGAGAGAGATATATATCATATTACCCCTGTACAAATCATTAGTAAGACCTCATCTGGAATATGCAGTTCAGTTTTGGGCACCAATTCACAAAAAGAACATTGGGGAACTGGAGAAAATACAGAGAAGGGCAACCAAACTGATAAGAAGCATGGAGGAGCTCAGCTATGAGGTAAGGTTAGAGGAAATTAATTTATTCTCTTGACAAGAGATTTAGGGGGATATGATCAACATGTATAAATACATCAGTGGTTCATATAGTGAACTCTGTGTAGAGTTATTCACCCTGAGGTCATCACAGAGGACAAGGGGGCAATCTACGTCTGGAGGAAAGGAGATTTAATCTCCAAATACAGAAAGGTTTCTTCATAGTAAGATCTGTGAAAATGTGGAATAGACTTGCTCAAGAGTTGGGTCTGGCCAGCTCAGTGGATTGCTTTAAACCACTTTCCGACCGCCCTATAGCAGAAATACTGCTACAGGGCGGCATGGGTGCACAAAATCACGTGTGTGTATAAATACATGATTTTGCATTTCCGGGTAGGGGGCGCATGCGAAAAAAGACCATAAATTTAATTTGGGTGCAGCGTTACATGACCATGCAATTGTCAATTAAAGTAATGCAGCACCATAACACAAAAAAATGGCCTGGCCCGGAAAGGGGGTAAATCCTCAGGAGGGCAAGTGGTTAAAAAAGGCCTGGATTTTTTTCTAGATACACAGAATATAACTGGATACTAACATTTATAGGTAAAGGTGATCCAGGAAGGAAATATCCAATTGCCTTTTGGGGGATCAGGAAGGAATTTTTTTCCCCTGCAGGAGCAAATTGGATTGTGCTTTGCTGGGGTATTTTTTTGCCTTCCTCTGGATCAACTGTGGGTGTAGGATTATAACTTTTTTTTTTTATGGTTGAACTGGATGGGCTTTTGTCTTTTTTCAGCCAGACTAACTATGTAAATATGTGTCCCAATACTATTGTCAATATAGTGTATGTGAACAGTCATTATAGGAAGCAATGTTATTTCACATGTCATGCAGATTGGATGTGGTTCAAACCTCATCCAATCCGCATATTTGTGAGCAAGCACTTACGCGTTATATCAAGGAACTTGCTGTATTTGTTTATTTTACATAGTAATCATAGTCTCCATAATATTTTTACTAATTTTTCAGTTCTTTGATACTTTGAGAACTTCTAATTTTAAAATATGTTTGCGTTTGTTTTCTGACTGTTGAAAAAGAAAATGCTTTCTTGTGTTCTAGATCCAAAGCATCCCAGCGCCTCATCTCTCATGACATCCATTCAAACACCTACAATTATAAAAGCACATTTTCTGTGGAAATAGTTCCAGTATGCAAGGTTAGTTATGATGAAAATTCATGTGGTTATTGTCTGTTTTCCATGTGAGGCAAAACTGTGGTGCAAGATTAGCATTTTTCATATAAGCTCTACATGAAAGAACTCCATATCGTAATCTTTTTAGTTGTGACACTGCTTATGCTCACTAAGTGACATGTTCCAATAGCCATTGCTGAGCTCTCCTCTTTGAATGCTTGCTAGGCTGCAGGCTACCCCTCCTTGTTTCAGTGCTTTGTGTTACTGACCTGGGACAAGTAAATGGGCATGGTCTTCACTTAGCTGTTCATGATCTGCTTACTTTTTCCAGCTCAGTATCTTGGAAAGTATTGAAGTCCGCAGGCAGAATTGCAACTAGGCAACTAGCATTTGAAATTGCAGCCCTTGTAATTCTCTCATAACAGAATTACTTTAACTTCTTCCCGACCGCCCTATAGCAGATATACTTCTATAGGGAGGCACGGGTGTGGTGCCCAGTGATTTCCAAGGATCTCCAATGGGGAGGAGAACTGTATGTAAACAGTACAGTCCTCCTCCCTGTCAGCTTGTGTACACTGCTTTGGATGGCTGTGCACAGCACAGCCATCCAAAGCAGTGTGATTACAGTGAAGCACACACACAGAGCTTACTGTGAAACAGCACACGGTTAACCTTTGATCACCCCTCAGGTTAATCCCTTCCTGCCCAGTGCCATTAGTATAGTGTCAGTGCTTCTTTTTTTTTTCCCTCACAAATCACTGTATTGGTGTGTCACTGGGGATGTCGGTGACACCAAGTCAGTTCCCCCCAGTGTCAGAATACCTGACGTAGTCCAGCTATAAGTCGCTGATCGCCGCCATTACTAGTAAAAAAGGAAAAAAAAAATTCCAGTATCTATGCCGCCATTTGCAAACGCTATAACTTTCACATAAACCAATTAATTTACATGTATTAGGATTTTTTTTTTTTTTTTAGCAAAGACATATCGCAGAATACATTTTGCCCTAAGTTTATGAAGAAATTTGATTTTTTTTTTTTCAATTTTTTTACTGGACGTGCTTAATATCAAAAAGTCAAAAATATAATTTTTTTTCTCAAAATTGTCTGTCTTTTTTTTTTTTTTTTTTAATAGCACATAAAAATTAAAAATGCACAGGCAATCAAATACCACTAAAAGAAAGCTCAGCTCGTCGGAAAAAAAGGACGTTTCATTTGGGTGCAGCGTTGCATGAGCACGCAATTGTCAGTTAAAGTAACACAGCGCCGTATCGCAAAAAAAAATGGCCTGGTCAGCAAGGGGGGTAAATGCTCAGGAGGGCAAGTGGTTAAAGAGACCCTGTCACCAACTCAAAACAATTGCAGGCAAAAAAAATAAATACAATTGTGTGTACTGTATTTCTAACTTTTTGTTTCCATTTTTTTCTCCTCTTTATTGACTTGGAATAGGCCTCTGAATTTGCTTGCAAATGTGCCTAGTTTGGAAGGGGTCAATTCCCTAGCACAGATATATTATAAAAAATTACCAGTGCGCTGCTAAATAAATGTGTATAAAAATATAGATATACAGTATATATTAAAAAAAATATTCTGAGGCTGCTGCTAACACTGAAAGTATTCTCACCTTACTCCAATAAATAGAATGCAAAAAAATGTAGCGCTGTCTCTCATAAACCTTTAAAATAACAAATTCATACATATATTATGTGTGTGCAAAGTTGTGTGTACAACCAAAACCCCAGAGCTGCAAGGTTCCAAATACCATCCAAATGTGGCTAATACTGCGATTTTCCAAGACTGACAATGCAGAGCAAACATTAAAGTGTAGCATCAAATTCCAGTGCTGTAAACAAACGCATACCATCCTTCATGCAATAAATAAGTGGAGTACTATGGTTGGAATTACCTGGTTCTGAGCATAGATCATATATTGATGAATTTGGAGTCTTAAAGCCACATTTCCTGATTGAGGATTGATTAAGAGGAAGGTGTTCCTGGCAGCTGCATTTGAGATGCCTATTTTGGGGAACGCGTGAGCAGCTATCTTTGCAGCATTGGTTCTAACGTTACAAATTGAAGGAGGAAAGTGTGTTATGAACTTTTTTATCTGTGAATTGCACTTTTTTAAAATTTTATAATTTTTTTATGATCACTACGTATATCACATTTTTGTATGGCAATCTTGCTGCTTACAGCACTGGACATTTGTTCTACACTTATTTATTGCATGAAGGATTGTATATGTTTTTGTTTATAGCACTGGAGTTTTATGCTACCCTTTAATGTTTTTTTACTGCATTGTCAGTCTTGAAAATCTGAATATTAAACACTGAATATTATTTGGAAGGTATTTGGAAACTTGCAGCACTGGCTTTGGCTGTACACACAACTTTACACATATATATTAAAAGTATGAATTTGTAGTTTAAAGGTTTATTAGAGGCAGCACTACACTTTTTGTATTCTAATTACCTAGCACAGCCCCTCCTTCCATGCACGTCATAGCCCTCTATTCTTCTGTAAGTGTTTCATTACTGTCTATGCTGACAGAATTTCTTGTCTATATCATTAACACAGAGAAAATATGTAAAGCACTGAAACGTTGGAGTTGGCAGAATAGCCAGGCAGCTAGCGCTTAAGAATTGAAAGTTGACAATGGCAGGACTTTCAGGTGTAAATTGAGACCCTATGTATAAAATATTTCAATGGTCTCGCAAGGTGCACAGAAAATGATTTGCGGTTTATCAAAGACTAATTAATTTAATACTTTTTTGTGCCGCTATTCTAAACTAACTGTTACTGTTCTCCTAATATAGCTTTATTTCTGTGATGTCTGAGACTCTCACCGTCAAGGGAATCTCAACTCTGCCCAATGAAAGATTGTAACCTCTTTATGGAGCTGCAGGAACAACTTTTTTTCTCTCTATTTCCCATTCCTATTTTTAGTACAAGAAATGTATTGTTTCAACTACAGACTGTGTCTGTGTCATTTATTGCCATGTTGCACATTCTCTTTTTAACGGCTAGGGTATGTGCTTTCATTTTCAGCCTTGATTTATATTTCATGTAATGTGCAGTGGATGATAGGAAATTTAACATTTATTGCTGGATGGATAGCTGACATCTTTGCTGGGATGAAATCTCATAATACTTTTGGTTCTTATTGACCTTGTAAAACGTGTGATGTAGATATTCCAGGAGGCTGCAAGTGATCAAGGGTATTTCACTCTTTTGTAGGTCAGGTGTAAGGAAATGGCAGGGGCAATGCAGCAAAAATTAGGTATTAAATAATGGCAAAAGCAAAAATTGTATGTGATTTGCATAAAAGGGAGGTAGAAGAAAGTGAATGAGAAAATGTTAATATAACCTAATGCTGCTGGCGTAACACATAAGCAGTGTTGCAAAAGTGAGCCTTCTTCCAAAGTGGTGCATACTGTATATGTGCACCAGTGTTTGAGCTGGAAGCATTCTTCCAGCCCAAAGATCACGCGGTCACTGACATCTCCAGGTCTCCTACTAATGATCGGGAACTAGGAGACTGTGATTCCTGCAAAAGCCTGTCATTGGGTATTAGTGATCATTTAGCAAAAAGCTGCTCCAGGAGTATTTATTTTGGTGTTTTTTTTTTTTTTTTTTTGTTTTTTTTTTTTTGAGTCATGGTAGTTAGGATTTATACTTATGATTTTACGAACACATGGCAGAGTTGCAAACCTGAATTCAGGCTTTGAACATTTATTTCACTAGGGGGCTAATGATTAAAGGTCCACTTTATTGATCACTTGTTTTAGAGCTCTTTTACTGCTTGTTTGGGAATGGGTAAATAGTTTTAATGTCCATAATCTGGGCACAGGTGAACTTTTAACCCTTTGAGGACCGTAAGATTTTGGAACACCAAAAGAATAAATTTTTTGTTTTTAAAGTTCGTACACTTCAGTTGCTGTAACTAAGCCATTTCATGAAATAATTGGCAAAAAGCTAGATCCATTTGTTGATCAGAAACTAATATTTTGACTCAAACCAAAAAAAAAAAAAAAAAGTATTTTAAGTTCTTAATCAGATGATACAGGCAATTAAAAACATGAGACAAATACGTCCCCTTGGTCCTCAAAGGCGCTAATTTAATTGCTGTAGTGGTCTCATTATTTTCTGGGTTTTCTGTCTACCATAAGGACTCCAAAGAACCTGCCATAGCAATAGAAAGGGGAACTAACAGATTGGATTCCTGATATAGTTGTGGAGAGTATTGATTCCTGTGTAAATTGTGTATAAAGTATCTGCCTTGTAAACATAAACTGATAATTTACTGGCTTTTTTAATTTTGTATGCAGGATAATGTGGTGTGTCTCTCGCCAAAGCTAGCTCAAAGCCTTGGGAACATGAATCAGATCTGTGTGTGTATTCGGGTAACAAGTACCATTCATCTGATTGATCCCAATACTCTGCAGAGTAAGTGTCACCTGAGAATTATTCTCTGATTTTGTGATGTGTCTGTGGTTCCTTATGGTGTTTCTTTCCATACAGGAAAATAAGACTACAGTAATTTAAATATTCTGCTAAAAATATATATATTGTGTTGAAACAAAAAAAAAAAAAAAAATTACTTTGGAGGCTAACCATTTATTTATACTGTATGTATCCTGCAAAGATGTGTGCCACAGCGGGGAATCAAATAGCTTCACATGCAATGTCTAATGGTTTGTGAACATGGGCGTCAGACTCAGCAGGAAAATAAAACACATTATTCTTTCAGGGAAACTGGCTTGTGTTTGAGATCGGTTTGAGTTGATTCCAACTTATTTTTATGCATTTCTTCACTGGTGATGGTGGTGATAGTTTTGGGGGGGGGGGGGGCAGTAGTTCAGATACAGCAGAGTAGGACATGCTGTGTTTACCAAATCACATGGCCAGATCAGGAGACACTCCTCAAGTCTGTGACTACTGTCTTCGCTCTCTGTTCTTCTTGAAATATATACAGGCCACATTGAATACCTGTTTTAGATTTAAAGTGATTGTAAATCCTCACCTTGTAAAACAACCCATTCGGTTTAAAATAGAAATGGAAGACAAAACATTTGCGTAAACATATAATAAAAATTATATATACCTTTTTTTCCAATTTTTATAAGTGATCACATTCCCTTTGTTATCAGCTGCATAAGAGCTGGGGGGAGAAAAAACAGCAGCACTCTGAACTTCCCAGTGAAAGGCTTTACGGGGCAGGGGGTGTGTCAGGAGAAATCTGATCATTGTAGGAGAGCAGGCTGAGTTCCCAGCACAGCTAGAGAGCTGACCACACTGGTTTCTCCTGCTTAGTGTGGTCAGTTTTTATTAGGAAAGCAGAGGGATTGAGAGAAACACCAGGAATTTCACGCAAAGGAAGCAATACAAAGAGAACTGGATATTCTCCCACAGCGTCTTCAAGGATGGCTACATGAGCGATAATACATGAGAGATTCCCTCTACAGGAAACACAATAATGAGACAAGTTAAAAGCCCCTCCCTCCCCCTTGTCCTTAGTAATTATTGTGTTTCCAACCCTCCAGGTGAACATATTGCTAGTCTTATTTATTTTTCTATCCTGTGTGGGTAATTATGGTTATCTGCCAAGTTCCTTTTTTTCCTGACTAGCCTACTTGTGGGTATGGCCTCGGGAAGTGTGTTTAGGCACTGAGGGGGATTTTAGTCTCTTTACCTGGATCTCGCTCCTCTGATCTACGGTCTGACTCCAAGAATCTCCTCATAGTACCAGGCAGTGGTGTTCCCAGGGAGAATGGATGGCTGTCAGCGGAGGCTGGAATAGTTTGAGCATTTGCAGGTCCCCATTGCGGTTGTTTCCCCTCCTGGTAGCCCTCGTGGTTCCTCTCCCAGGTTTATGCAAGATGGCGGTGGTGCTTCACTTCCAGGTGTACTAAGATGGCTGTGCCAGTACTTCCGGCGTTACGATGACGCACTTCCAGTCCGGAGACATGCCAAGGCACCTTTTTTAAACTGAGCAGATGCTGTTACTACATTGGAAAACTGATTCTGCTTTGGAAAAAAACACTGGCACCAGGCAGTTCTTGGTAACAGCGCAGTGGCCTACAACAACCAGCATGCAGGAAGGAGACGCTGTGCAGGCAAAAGCGCCCCCCCAAGGCTAAGCCGGCTGGCCAGCCAGCCACCTCCATTGAAGGGTCCAATTCCCCAGCTACTGAGGTAAGGGAGAGCTTGACCTAGGTTAGGAGGATACATTTTCATACAAGTACATGGTACATCAGACACATATATAAAATATGAAATGTTGGGTTTACACATATTCTTAACTGCGATAAGATGGCACTGCAGTTGCCTGAATGTGCTCCCGGCTCCATAGACCTAAATATTTAGGAGTGACCAAAGCATATATGACTGTGACAAGCTGATTGAGAAAATAAGAGATCCTTGGGGAATGAAGTCATGCCTACACAGCAGATTGCCCTCCTAGCACCTATAGCCAGCTAAACATTGCCCACTTTTTATACTGCGTAATCATTTTTTCCAACCAGATCGCCATGGCACAATCACAATATATAAACTGTGTTTTACCAAGGTTTTTATGCCACACAACACAATTCAAAAACTGTTGAAAGTATATCTAAAGCCCCAAATTTTTCAATATGGATAGAGTAGGGAAGGGTTAAAGCCAATGTCATATTTTTTTCCCGATCTGACTGTTATCAGGGAGATTCTGCTCACTTCCTCTGCTGTAAACTGAACAGGCAGTGAAAGGATATCTTTCCAACGTAATGGTAATCTCTTCGTTGTCAACCAAACAGATGTCCCTGTTGGAAGATTTCCCCTCTATCCTAGTCTGGTAACAAATTTTGGATTTACCCTTACTTTCAGCTAGAGAGAGTGAATCTCCCTAATGGAAGCACAAACAGCAATAAAAACTTGACATTGGTTCTAATCACTTACCACTTTGTCTAAATCTAAATAAAACATTTTACCTATAGTTCTATCTAATGGCTGCTAAAATGCATTTGAATTTTTTTTTCTATTTTATAAGTAGATAGATCTTGAGCACTGATGTGGTCCTGGATAGTTTGTTAGAGCTTTGTCTGTCATATAGCACTTTCCTTGTTTTTTATGCATCTTTTTATTTAGACAAGTGGTTTTCAACTTTTTAGCGAAGGGAGGCCTTAAATGCGGCCCCTGACATCACCAATGTTCAATATATGTAATGCTTGAAAGGACTGTCAAAAACAGCAGACCTAATAGAGGAAATGAGGGTCAAAGAATGCAGATGTGCTACATTTTTGGCTGGGAATGCTACAGAAGTCCATACAAAACTGGGAATGTTACATGAAGCTAGGAGAGATCAATGATATTACATTAATCGGTGTTCACACTGCAGACTACTGAGGTGCGAGGGCTGCACATCATATACTGAAGGGCTACAGGTTGGGCGTCAGGGGATTAGACAGTATTGAGATGACTGTACTCGGATTCCACCATGTGCAGTGATTTTCCTGCTTTGAGATGACTATTTAAGCTCCAGCAGTTTGAGAGTGCTCATTACTGAAGCAAGCAGCTCCTTCATGGCTCCTCCTGTCAGATTTTCTTTGTGCCCTTGGGACCTGAACTTTGGTTTTGGAGGTTTTGCAAAAACCACCATTTGAACCTATTGGAGAGACTCCACTGGTCCTGTTGACTTGTAAGGTGTTGTTTCTAGTGGCAATAATTTCTGCGAGAAGGGTGTCAGAGCTGGCAGCTCTCTTGCAGGGATCCATGTCTGGTTTTGCATCACGATAAGGTGGTGCTGTGACTTTATCCGTGCTTTTTACCAGAGGGGTCTAGGAAGGGGGCAAGCAGCATCCAAGGTGACTATTGCTCATTGGATCCGCCAATTGATCATTCAAGCCTATGGTTTGAAAGGTAACGTCCCACCCTTTTGGGCGAAGGCAAATGGGTAATAGAAAAGCAGAGTAATTTCCCCGAGACTATGGACTGTGCATCTGTCCTGGTGACGTTTGGACATTAGACTGCTGGAGGATGGGAAGAAGGTGCTGCTGGGATCACATAACAGTGCTGTTTAGCAGCACAGAGGATCATGTTAGTAAATATACTTTTTCATGCCCCCCTGACCTGAACTAGCAGTTGCTTATCACAGTGTTGGTGCAGCCCCACTGCAAGGTTGAATTTCCACTTTTCCTTGGATTTAGCTTTAAGTGGATTGCAGCCTGGTCTTTGATTCAATGCTGAGCTTAATTCTTTTTCAAAGTAAATTCAATTTCATGTCTGTCTCTGGCCCTCAGAAACATAACTTTTAGTAGTTTCGAAATCAAACGAGACACTTCACTGCTGCTATGCATATGAATACAAGAAGCTTACAGCAAGTCATGATCAGGTACTCAATACTAGTTGCATTTAAAAATATGGATTACTTTTTTTTTTTTTTTGTGACTTCACAGCTGCGTTTTTTGGTATTTTTCTTATCTTCCTGTTTTTTTAAATTTTTTAAAATTTTTTTTTTTACATTACATTAACTTTTATATATATATATATATATATATATATATATATATATATATATATATATATTTTGTTGAAAAGTCCTTTCACCTGTCTACCTGCTGTAGTAGTCACTCCTATTCTGCCCTGGAGTGAGTTTTATTTATATGTAGACTATTGGCTACATTTGTATATTGTTTCTTCTTATCCAATCACTGCCTCTGTTCCTGCAATAAAACAGGATAATGCCAAAACAAATGTCCTCTACATGGGCACTTTGCAGTGCTACATAATAATTGGTCAGTGTTACTCTTCTTACAGTATTGAAGACTGTACACTCAGTATGTGGCTGATACGCTATCTCAGTGGTTGGTAAAAGAAAAGCAGAGTAATTACACTGAGACACAGAGGACACTGTATAGTGACCAATTTAGAAATCTACAGTATATATTACAGGAATAAATATATGCAAGAGCCAGAATGGAAAAAATGCAAAAATGTGTATGTATCCATGGCTCCTTCTCCCCCTCATTCAATTAGACTGTCAGATATGTCGTCAGTGCCACCTGCGTGTGAAATACTGGTATTGCAAATCGGTCACAATAAATTAATATTCCAGACCTGGTTTTAAAATGGTAAGACTGTTATTTTCCCCTTTTTATTTATTTTTAGATCCTAAAGAATTTGGACTATTTTTAAATGCTGCTTTGGACAATGCCCCCCTCCCCCCTTCTCATTCTGCTACAATTTTAATTATGGTGGCTAGTAAAGAAATTCCAATATGTAGATGACTTCTCTACAGACTTTCTCTCTAATTTGTTTTGCTGACATTTTCACCAAGAATTTACGCTATGGTATACCCTGCATTATTTATTCCTGATGGAAGGAATGTTTCTCAAAGTGGCATATATTTTTGCCATTTGTTTTTCACTAATCTGTCTGAGTTTTACCATTGTCTATGCTTCACATTGGCTTTACTGTCACTTCTGTCAAAATTAATTATGTTGGATGACCAGTAGAGTGTTTGTGGCGAAATAGGATAAAATGCATTAAAACAAAATGCATTTATTATGCCTGCCTGTAAATAGGCCATCTGAGTGCTAATTATAAAACAAGAACAGCAACAAAAAAAGACTGAATTGGGATGAAGGGGCAGTTGGGTTTACTACACACATGGTTTCAATGTTATTGTAGTTGAAAAAAAAAGCCTTTTAAATGGTGTAGTTTGTGACTTCTTTCTTGGATACATTAGACTTGACAACCAACTTTATATTGCCGTAATAAAGAGAAGTGGCTTCACCTCTTGCCTGAAAGTGTAGCTTAATTTTTTCAAATGCCAGAATAAAGTCTAGGCATGCTGCAGGGTTAGTTTCGATGAAACATACAACCGTTTGATTTTCAGTGCTTTCATGTGTATCATAGGTAAAGGGAAATGTGAGCACATATTTAACCTATTTTAGTGGTTTTTCCTAAAATTATTTTTGATGTGACTGTGCATGCTTTTCCATAGTTTTGTTATATTAAATAGAAAGAATTGTAGATTACCCAGGAGGAGAAGCTGTCATTGGCTCCATACTTTCTGCTACACGGCATAGATGGCATAACACCTACATAAGGATTGCATTGTTTTGACTCATAGACTTGCATTGTATGAAGGAGCAATAAAATGCAACTGCTGTGTAGCACTGCCGAGCAGAAACTGTGCCTGTGTTTGTAATGAGCAAACATGGATTGCTGCCACCGTATTAACTTGTGTATATAAACACATGATAGAACATGAACACATATTGATAATACTTTTATCAATCTGATCTATTCTCTTCTACATGTATAACAATCATAATGTATGTTTTTCTCCCCCCTCCCTCATAGTTGCGGAAGTCGATGGAAACACATATTGGCGACAACCGTTTAACAGCTTGTTTCATCCCAAACAACTAGAGGAGTTCATTGTGATCGACTTAGATATTGTCAGAGACCGGAAACAAGGAGCAGGTGCTGGAATGAGATCAAATAAGGTATGGCATGGCTCCACTTCTGTTTTTTCCCAGCAAGTTTTTTGATGGCAGACCACCCCACCCTCTTTATGTGAAGTGTGTTCTATGCCAGTGCATCTCAACCACTAGACTCTTCCTTCCTTTTGTCAGTCTGCGCCCTGGTGGGGCATTTGACACTTGCTGTGAGAAAAGGCTTAAAGAATTATTCCAGGCATGGCTATATTATGCATGGTTACATTGGTCCAGCTTAACCAGTGTAAAACTATACCTGGCCGATCCCTCTGCACTACTTCAGTGATCTGCACTTGCTATGTCGGTCCTGTGTGGCTGCACTCATGCTTACAGAACACAGAAGGTTGGCCACTTGACACAGATTGCATTCAGAGGATGCTATGCATTTTTGGTATGAATCATTCTCTGATGGAGAGGCAGGGTGGCGATGTCACACTTTCTTGTGCAATCAGAAAACTTTGCATTCATTCAGAAAATTAATGGGATCCAGTAGCAGATGGAAATCACAGGAGTAGTTGTGTCTACTTCAATGATTTCCAGTTTCCAGGGGCATTAGCCTGGTATGGTGTAATCATAGTTCTATTCGTCCAAGTTGGACTGCACTGTATAATATAGCTATACCTGGAAATTTCCTTTTAAATTAATGAAATAGATGTTCCTCAGTTTACTGAGTGTAAACACAACCAGTAACCAATCAGACAGTTTGGAGCTGCAGTCGATCAGCAGAGCTCTGGTGCTACATGACAGCATTAGATCTTCCTGACTGGCTACTGTTTCAGGGTGTCTGATTGGTTTATTGTTGTCATTACTCATTATGTTCCGTGAACTGCAGGACCACATCAATTTCATTAATTTAAGCTGTGATTTGTGTTTTCCCTGGGAAGTGGCAGGTTCTATAATCTGATCATGCCTCCTGTGTGTCCCTTTGTCACAGTCACATAGTGCGCCTCTGTATCTCCAGCTTGTGCCTTTTCTTGCTTGCTTCTCCTCTCTAGTCCTCCTATTCAGCTCAGGCTGTGTTCCTCCGATCTGTCAGGACGTGTAAGTGGCGGAAGAATGAGAGCAAGCCAGGCAGTACCTTGTCGCAGGATGCTGGCTGTACAGACCTGCGTTATCCTAGCTCTCACTCCACTCCACAAATTTTTATCCCAGTAGGATGGTAAGCTGCGGGCTTCCAGAATATTCTATGCTAGCCTTCTTCTCTAATAACACTTCCAGCAGCCAAGTAAGTTGTTCTGGAATGTATAAATCCTAAAGGGCACTGAGAAGTTGAGTGAGGGGAAACCAAAGAGAGCGGTTGAGGGAGCCAGAACCAGAAAGAGAAGAAAAGATAAAATGAGAAAGGAAAAAAATACAAGGAAAAAAAAATAAAGCTTCAGATAGCCTTATCATTTGTCATTGTGTGTACTTAAGTTACAACAACTCATATTATCAGCATAACACTGCTTTTTAATGTATTTTAAATACATATTTTGCATCCCGATAATTTTAGGCCTCTGTTACACGGACAGCAGTTTTTTTAAATGGTTAATTGGGGATTTTGTATAGAAACATCATGCCACAACTGTAAGCCAAGCGTTTGGTTCATGGTGAGGACACATTTAGGGTGCCACCTGTCAAACTCACAGGTCATCTTAAATTTGCTGTGGCTGTGAAACAAGGCATCACACCTGTGTACAGAACTCTCTGGCTACATGTTATGTTTTAGGTGGGGTTTGCTAAAACTATGGTTCAGCTGGTTGTTTTTTACCACCCCCTGACTGTGTGACAGAGGCCTTCTTGTACGAGTATAAACTTTTTATTTACTGTTGAGTCATGGAAGAATTTTACTTCACCCGGGTCTCACAAAGGTTGGGAACATCTATTCTATGCCAATGCTGCCAGTGCTGGGTACAAATGTTATTATCTAAATTAAAATTATGAATTAGGTCATTGTACTATTAGAAAACAAAACAAAGGCACAGCTGATCTAAAAGTATTGGTTGGCAAACAGGAAAATGTAAATCAATGTATGCAGGTTGGGATGTGTTGTTGAAGACCTCTTGAAAGTTCACTGTGCTTTCCTGCTATGTAAGCTCCTCAGCATGGACACACATTGGTGCTTTCTCGACCACTTTCCAAGGTGAGCTGCATACATTGATTTCAGTTTTCCTGTTCATCTACTAATACTCTTGGATGCATGTCCCCCTTGTTTTTTTTATTGTATAAATTTCACTGTGAGGATTTGCGGTCCACTGCTGGAAGAGGAAACAATATATACAAGACCTTTATGCTGGATCGCCAAATTCTTCCTTACTAGTGTGCCATCAGTGTGCAGTCATCCATATTTGCTTTCCTGATCTTCCAAGGTTCTGCCGCAGTGTTAACCTGTTTCCAGCCCTTTCCATTTTTCCCTCTGCCCATGTATGTGCAGTAGAGCCTCATAGACTTGTATTGGGCTTTGAGACGATCCATTTTTAATTATGAATTTGCTGAAAAATATACCACTTCCTTTCCATTTTCTTTTTTTACACAGCATACACTTGCTGAAGTTTGGGTTCAAAAAACATCTGAGATGAACACAAGCCAACAGTACCACTGTCGTACACACTTGGGACATCTGTTGAATCCTGGGGACTTGGTCCAGGGGTATGCTATCCTTTTATGTGTATGTGATCTACATATGTAAAATGTGTATAAAGTCAGCACTGAAATAACAATGTGATAAACAAGTAGCTGCTTACAGTGTAAGTAGATATACCACTATTACTAAAAAATCACATATTAAAACGCAGCGCAGTGTTTTATTATGTGATCTACATCAGGGGCGGACTGACAATTCATGGGGCCTCCAGGCAATAGGGGATCATGGGGCCTCGTGTCCTCGCCCACACTCAAACCACACCCAAAAAAGCCTAGAAAAGGTACCAGGGGCATTTCATGGGGCCCCCTATTGACCCCGGGCCCTCGGGCAGTGCCCGAGTGCTCGAATGGTCAGTCCGCCCCTGATCTACATATGTGCTTAGATATAAAATCTAGTGACTGTATAATGCAGTAAAATTTGGGGATTGTGTCGGACAAACTTCAATCAGTTATTATTGCTTAAATGATAAGCTCACCTTTTAACCAAAAAAATGCAGGTCGCTGGTACCATGCAGGTCTCCTGCAGACAGTGTAATCCGTGTGCTTTTACTTCATACGAGCAGACAGTTTTACACTGACGGGAAGAATCGGTGAACCACCGCATTGCTTAACAGTGCCGTGGTATTTCATTGAGAACTACAAGCCGACAGCTGCAAAGGCTGACAGGACTAGTAGTTTCCCATTCTTAGAACTCTGTGAATGAATCACGCACTTTTTTCAAATTTTGACAGCTAGAGGGGGAAAAGATCCCCTGTTAGCTGTCACATTGGGGGAGGGGGGTGCAGGGGCCAGTACAGTTGTAGCATGTTACACCTGGAATATGGGTGTAACATGTTACAAAAGGTGAACTTATCCTTTTAATTTTGCTGTAATAAATATTGGCCGTAAGTTATACTTGTGGAATAGTTTTACCCATATATTCTGTCTCTTCACACATGAAAGATGAATCAGCCCCCCTTTAGGAAAAAAACAGAGTAACCTTTTCAGATCTTCCTTTTTATTCCCAGATGAACAAGAGCTTGAAGTTCTGTTGGATCATGGTTTCTAAAGAGAGAAAGCTTTTTTTTGGTGGCATTTAATAATCACTGATTTTTTTTTTTTTACTATATAAAAGGAAAAAAGACCAAACATATTGGGAAAATAACTGTTTCCCCTACTTGCTCTCTTATAACGCATATCAAATAAAAAAACAAGGATAGTACCAACCCCCCAAATCACTTTAAGGTGATCACATTTTTTTTTTTTACCACAATGTTTTGGAAATGAAGAAACATGCTGTAATTGCATTTGTTAAATTACAGTTGTCAAAATGTAAATACGACAAATGCTACAACTTGGTGTTAAAGAAAATCCATTGTTAGGAACTATGCTTGGGATGTGACTTCACAATAGTAGACTGCATATATGGGTTTATTTAAAACATTGAGCTTGGCAATAGCAGACTTGAAAATTGCATCCACTTTATTCACAACCTTTAGAACGCCATATACAGCAACAGTCGGCATCGTGAAAGCAAGGAAACACAGTCAACGTGTTTTGTGCTTCTATTGCTTATTTATGACTTGCAGAACAAAGGAGAGACCGATCTTTAAAAAGTTGAATCCTCAGCACATTCATTAGCAGCAGCTGTGACTGATCCCTCATGTCTCCACTTCCTCCTTAATATATGCATATTATACTGCATAATGTTTGCACAAACTACATATATACAAATAAAACTTGAACCTCAAAAAAAATGATATCTGGGGGGCACAGGCGCGGAGTGATGGACACACGCTTCCAATGGTAGGTCTGTCAGACCCGGAGACTAACGGCACTATTTCCAGGGCAATAGTACCTTGTTTTCAGACTATTTTCATCAGCACCCCTGTGGAACATCTTTGTGCATGACGTCGGGCAAGAAGGTGCGCGGTTACCCTTCTCAGCCCTCACTAACCACATCGTTACTCCGCATTAAAGAGAAGGAGGGGATGTCCCAACATGGCTCCCAGACAGAACGGGCTCCTATTGCTCCCAGCGGTTCCTCGGCTGAGACTCCTACCACCTAGAGGGACAGTGAGTACTCCGGTCAGCTAACTAAAGCTGATTTAGATGCTAGTCTTTCTGCTATTTTGAAACGTTAGCTGATAAAATACAAACTGAACTATATACAGTGGATATAAAAAGTCTACACACCCCTGTTAAAATGTCAGGTTTTTGTGATGTAAAAAAATTAGACCAAGATAAATAATTTCCGAACTTTTTCCACCTTGAATGTAACCTATAAACTGTACAACTCAGTTGAACAACAAACTGAAATCTTTTAGGTGGAGGGAAGTAAAAATAAAAAAACTAAACTAATATGGGTGCATAAGCGTGCACACCCTTAAACTAATACTTTGTTGAAGCACCTTTTGATTTTATTACAGCACTCAGTCTTTTTGGGCATGAGTCTATTAGCATGGCACATCTTGACTTGGCAATATTTGCCCACTCTTCCTTGCAAAAACATTACAAATCTGTCAGGTTGTGAAGGCATCCCCCGTGCACAGTCCTCTTCAGATCACCCCACAGATTTTCAATCGGATTCAGGTCTGGGCTCTGGCTGGGCCATTCCAAAACTTTCATCTTTTGCTGGTGAAGCCATTCCTTTGTTGATTTGGATGTATGCTTTGGGTCGTTGTCATGCTGAAAGATGAAGTTCCTCTTCATGTTCCGCTTTCTAGCAGAAGCCTGAAGGTTTTGTGTCAATATTGACTGGTATTTGTAACTGTTCATAATTCCCTCTAACTTGAGTAAGGCTCCAGTTCCAGCTGAAGAAAAACAGCCCCAAAGCATAATGCTGTTACCACCATGCTTCACTGTGGGTATGGTGTTCTTTTGGTGATGTGCAGTGTTGTTTTTGCGCCAAACATATCTTTTGGAATTATGGCCAAAAAGTTCAACCTTGGTTTAATTAGACCATAATACATGTTCCCACATGCTTTTGGGAGACTTCATATGATGTGTTTTTGCAAAATTTATCAGAGCTTGGATGTTTTTCTTCGTAAGAAAAGGCTTCCGTCTTGCCACTCTACCACTTAGCTCAGACATATGAAGAATATCGGAGATCGTTGTCACATGTACCACACAGCCAGTACTTGCCAGATATTCCTGCAGCTCCTTTAATGTTGCTGTTGGCCTCTTGGCAGCCTCCCAGAACAGTTTTCTTCTGGTCTTTTCATCAATTTTGGATCTCAATGTTAAAAGGTATCAGATAAAAGGTTAAAATTAGAAGGATCTCAATGTTAAAAGGTACCAGTCAGGAGAAGGGTACAAAAGAATTTTCAAGGCATTAGATATACCATGGAACACAGTAAAGACAGTCATCAAGTGGAGAAAATATGGCGCAACAGTGACATCACCAAGAACTGGACGTCCAGTTCTTGGTGATGTCACTGTTGCGCCATATTTTCTCCACTTGATGACTGTCTTTACTGTGTTCCATGGTATATCTAATGCCTTGAAAATTCTTTTGTACCCTTCTCCTGACTGATACCTTTTAACATTGAGATCCTTCTAATGCTTTGGAAGCTCTCTGCGGACCATGGCTTTTGCTGTAGGATGCGGCTAAGAAAAGGTCAGGAAAGACCTACTAGAACAGCTGAACTTTGGGGTTAATCAAAGGCACTTTAAATGATGGCAGATGGGTACTGACTCCGATTTAACATGATTTGGATGTGATTGCTTAATTCTGAAACAGCTACATCCCCAGTTATAAGAGGGTGTGCACACTTACACAACCACATTATTTTAATTTTGTTTACTCCCCCCTATAAGATTTCAGTTTGTTTTTTGAGTTGTACAGTTTATAGGTCACATTAAAGGTGGAAAAAGTTCTGAAATAATTTATCTTTGTCTCAGTTTTTTACATCACAGAAACCTGACATTTTAACAGGGGTGTGTAGATGTTTTATATCCACTGTAAAACCACCAGCACTCTTACTCAAGAAATTGCAGCATTGGGCAGCCACACAGATATATTGGAGGCTAAACATGATGAGCTTTCTTTAGCCCACAATGATCTTTGGAAGGAACATGAACTGCTGGCTGAGAACTTTTCCTATTTACAATCTGAGGTAGAGGACTTGGATAACCAAAATTGCTGCAACAATTTGCAGGTCCGAGGTATTCCAGAGTCTGTTATTGAGCTAATGTCTGCAGTGTCCAAGTTATTTCATACTTTCCTCCCTGAGATGCCACTATCCTCCTTCGCATGCAGTAGAATCCACAGGGCCTTTATGTTCCAAACCACGTGCTGATAAACCACCTTGTGATTTAATTCTATTCATGAAGGATTACCTAACTAAAGAAGAATTTCTACGTGCATCCAGGAATACCTCCAATATAGAATTAGAAGGCTCTAAAATACAAATATTTCCAGATATCTCTCCAGCCACTTTGGAAAGAAGATGCAATATGAGAGAAGTAACCTCAGTGCTTCAATTGGCTCGCATAAGATATTGTTGGGGTTTCTATTTTAAATTATCAGTACCTCATAAGGGCACTACTTATACAATTTTCACTGTCGCCGAGGGCATGGAACTCCTGGTCAAACTGGGACTATTGGAGCCTGAACCAGCACTACGCCTTCCTGCAATGCCTCGTCCATCACCTATATGGTCTACCCTTTCCTCACGTTGGGATCAAAGAAGATGGTAACAGTCCTTCAGGGATCTGGTAGCTTGAGGGATTGTCTTCCCTCCTTTGCAACTGAACATATCTCATTCGATAAAGAAATTATGTGATGGTTAATCAAGCTCAACTACTTATATTGCTTAGGACGGGATGCGGATGAACGACAAAGAAGATAGAAGAAAACTCCCAGACCCCCCCCCCCCCCCTTTTTTCTCTCCTTTTTCTCTCGTTTTTATGCACTATAAACTACATTGGATATTCTTAATAAGCTGTACCTCTTCGCCGCTGTTTGTTGGCCCCCCCGTACTTACCATCGGTGCCTGGGACGGTCCATAGATGGTCTCTGTTGG